TGTTTTCTTCCTGGGCGAAGCTTTTGGGTAAGGCCTTATTGCTGCCGGAGCTACAAGTGGAACCTTATCTAAGTATTATTTTGATCACAACGCATAGAGGGATTGTCAAAGGAAGATGACGGGTTTTCTATACTATTAGAAAAAGTCAGTCGAGCCGAATGGTCTTGAAGAGTCGAATGAGCAGAAATCATATCGTCATCGCCCAAGAAACTTCTGTCAGTGACTGCAGAGCACATGAATTCTTCCTCAGTGAATATATCAGGATTAAAAGGATGAATGCCGCTCTTTCTAAACCCACTAAGGATGTTCGCCTGACTAAAGGCGTCTGACATCAATGTCTTTATAAGCTCCGGTATATTATATATCGTCACCGTTTTCCCTGGATTTGATAGCATCCAGTTATTCAAAACTCTGTTATAACGTGACTTAAATGAAGAATAAACAGCAACATCTAACGGTTGCAGCTTACCGCTGCAATGCGGAGGGATCGTTACTATTGTTATACCATTCTCTTTGGCAAAGTTGACTACATCTATGCTTATATGGCTTTCATGATTGTCGAATATAAGTAAAACAGGATTTTCTTTGGATGCTCGGGAATACTTTTTGAAATGTTCCATGAACTTCAAAAAGCTCTTTTTGGTCATCCAACCACTGGAGTATGCGTCGCCATCCGATCCCTCTGGTCCATTAGATACAAAATCTTCCCGATATTTGACACGAGGAAATACAAAGAATGGTGGTATGACATTCCCAATTGCATTAGCTGCACAGCAAATTGTTACAAGAGTTCCTCTGTCAGCAGAAGTTGCTTGTCCCACTTGCCTTGATTGTTTGCTTGCTAACACTTTTGGACAGTCCTGAACAGTAGTACATCCTGTCTCATCACAATTAAAAATATTTTGTGGTTCAAACTTATATTTCTCCCGAACACGCCTCAGATTATCAAAAAAGTCACCAACATTCTTCTTATTGAAACTAGTCGCCCTTGATAAACTAGTTGCTTCAGGCGTTCGCAGACTTATTTCTTTATTTCTATGAAGAAACCCACGGAACCAGTCTTTTCCAGCTGAACAGTTTCTTGACCAACTGTCTGGAACTTTTTTGGAATTTGATGAAGCATATTCATAAGCTAATTTCATCGCTTCTATACGAGTAAGACCATAATTCATTTTACTGCAGTTTATTAAATATCCAACCAGCAGTCTCTCTTCTGGAATTGTGAAAATCTGAGAAGCCTTATGCGAACTATCCTTTTCATCAAAAACTCTCAGTTTTTCTTCATTTTTTGTGTACCGACGTAAAGTCGTCCTGTTTATCCCATACTTGATAGCTGTTTTCCTCAGAGATGCACCAGATTTCACATCTGCAATAGCATTTTGCAGCTCCTGTTTTATAAGTTTTTTACGAGATGAACTGCATTTGCTCTTGTATTGAAACGGCATATCTGAAAAAAAGAGTTGAAACGATTCTCTTTTTGTCGGACACAACAAAGGGACATTTGAACCACTGAGCAAATCTCCCTAGGCATGATGGGTCAAGTCTCCCTAACCCGACCTAGCTTACTCGATTTAAAAATTACGGAAATTAGTTTAAGCTGAGGAATAAAACACAATTGGTTCTCAAAACTAGAATGATTTAGTAATCTAACTAATATTAAGGTCATTTCATACCTGATTATTTAAAGACGTGGCGTCAAAACTCAAAATATTCTAATTTCTAACTTCTTAGCACCAAACACGTGCTTCCTTCGCTAACTGTAGAACCGTTTTGCTAGAAGCCAATATGGCGCCGTGCGTGTGACAAGCATCGAGTAGGCATGCAGCGGCCTGTCAGTGATCTAAATCGCGCGAAATTCAAAATGATTTATGCGGTGTGGAGCATATCTCCCACCTGGTCAAATCTCCCGGACTCCCCCTAATATAAATATTAGCCAATTCCTCAAATGATTTTACTTTACTTAGTATAAGTTGTAATGTTTTGAATAGAGCCTCCAGAAACCTCTCATCAGGGATTTCTGTTGTGTCTGATTCTCTAAGAGGTAGGGGGTTACTGGGGCCAAATGAAAAAGGGAACATGGGGGGAATGTGGAAATCATTAATAGGGGATACAACTTTTCGTTTTTTGTTTGGCTTTTCTTGCTGAGATAGGGGTCTAGCTATTCGCAGCGTGACTGTATGAAAAGAATTTGTTGATTACTACAGTCAGGGGTTTGCTGATCGGCTGTGTGAGGGTTCTTTTGGAGGGAGAGGAGGAAATTCTGTATGGGCATTTGGCCTAACACTTCAAAACGATTTTTTGAATTTAATATGGAGGAGTATGTATTACCGAGTTTTCTTTTAGCCTCCAGGAACGTCAGATTTTGTTCGGCCATGATTTTTAAAATGTTTTCCTGTTCCATATATAAGATGGTCAATTTTTGGATGTTGACTTTTGATCGTTGTTCTTACAATAAACACAACAGCTATCCTGGAGATCCCTGCAATTGTGCTCTGGATCCTTTGCTTTGCCGCAATTAATGCATATATAGGACCGATGAACTTCTGCATTGTTTTGCAACATGCAACACTGTTTAAAGAAATGTAGGAGGGTAGAATGTTGCCTTTAAAGGTCACTATAATATATTGCTTCGGAACATAGGCGGTCCATCAATTTCTACCTTACGTTTTAATTTTTTTACCTCAATGATAGTTACAGGAGTCAAAAAGTTTTCAAACAAATATTTTTCGTCAAAACTGGTATCAACATTCTTTATCACTGCTTTCCTAAATAGTAAATTACTGAGGATAAATGCTCTTAAATTTTCATTTTTTAGTGACTGGTTAGTAACTAGACGATTCCCGCCCTTCAAACTTTTTAGATGAACCTTGATTCTATTTCTACCTACTTTTTCGATGTTGACAATGTTTGTAATGTTGAGTTTTTTATGAAGCCTATGGACATTTGGTGTAGCGTATCAATATTTTCAGTATTTATTTTTTCAACAAATACATAAATCGAATCTAAATATTGCTTAGGTTTTTGCAAATTAAAAACAGTGCACTTATCTGGCGTAGTATCGGTTGCGATGCTTGTATTCAGGATAACTCCTTGACGTATGTCTACTCTATTGTTGCTGCCCCCATCAGGGGAATCTATAATCATGGGCATTACACACTAAACTGTATAACGGTTATTATCTCCAGTTGCACAAACGGTTGAGGAAAAGAAGAAGGAATTTTTCCTATGTATTTATATGTATAACACAACTCTGTACAGAGCGCTCCGTACGATATTTCGTCAATGAACGTCGCAAACGAACTGAGCACTGTATATATTGAGGTGAATAAAAAATCAGGTTATAGAAAAAATGCGGTGACTATCATTTTGATTTACCCTGCACAACAATTCAAACCATGACTACAATCAAGAACTCATATTTAGATAACAAAGCCAACCGAAGTAATTCTTGAAATCGTGTGAAAAACAAAAAAGTTATGACGTTACGAATTTGACCAAAATTTTGCTTGTTGCGTTCATTTTGAACCTGAGACTATAGATAAGTTGCCTCCATAAGCATCAAATAATTTATTTGCGAATATTTTCAGTTCTCTGCAGACATTCGACGTTAACTGATGTATATAAATCTAAATGTGATGACTGGTGAAAAATAATATTTTCAGAGTGAGTTGTCATACCTCCACATGAAAGGTCATATGCGTCGTAATGTGTCTCCTAAACAGGACACTGTGTCGTTTAAATCGACATATGAGGTTCTTGGCTCTAGCAGAAGAGGCTATATGCCGATTCTGTAGAGAACAAGTGGAAACCCCAGAGAATCTCTTGTGCCAAGGACTGATCTGATTAAAGGGTCAAGTGCTTTAGACAGAATATATGTGGTTCGGAATATATCCATATGGTTTTCACTGGCGTTTAGGCTCACAAGCTAACCCGTTTCTGGTAATGAAGGCTAACCCGTTTCTGGTAATTTACCTCCACATCACTCGGTTCCCGAGCAAATTCTTTTAAACCATTGTTCAGATCCGACTGTGTCCTTAGCTGGTGGATTCTCGGTTTTATGATTTTTTTACGAGTCTCTCGGACACCTTGCAAAATATATGAAGGAATACAACAGCTACGCTGAGAACTCTAGGCCGACTCACAATCTGACAGAAACTTGTTATACCAAAATTTTCATATGTATGTTAGAATAAAGATGATGTCTGAAAAATTGCTCGAGCAATGATTGACTAAAATTACAATAAATATAGTTCCTATTGTGCTTATTTTTCTCCCTGTCAAATACTTTAGGTTCGACCCTGCTTTCATATACGATAATTAATAAGTAATAGAATATCCTCCATTCATTATATTGAAACAAAACCAACAGATATCGTTATTATTTCACAAATCATCAACGAAAAACATTAACTGGTATTTATTAACAAAGGAGCATCACGTTTCATTTTAGATATCCATTGCATCCATCATGATATGCTTCGTTCATTTTATTTTTAACGATTTCCATTATGCCAAATGAGACAATAAACGTGGTGACGATTTCATCGTTGAAATTTTCGCAAGTATCTTTCATTTCATATAAATAACAACGTTTGTATTCAGAAGTATGTAAAGAATGAGAACAACTTTAAGAAAGTAGATGTGCTATTTGTTGCATCCATTTTGCGAGTGTCAATGTCTGGATCACTTGTGACATTTAAACTAAGATTTGGTAAACGAGTGAGCTGAGCTCATCTGATTTTTCCCGCTATCATGAGATAGTGGCAACTTACTCTAGTGCGTTCTAAGTATTAGCTGCCGAATTGTATCTGTTAACATGAGATTTTGTTTTTATCACTTGCTGTTTACTTTTTTCAATATTGTGCATCGAAATAGAATGCGGTAGCGTTTAACAAGGAATTTTTTAGGAGAAGGGATGATTGCCGTTAAAGTAAAAAAATTGTCACTTCACCGCACCCATTTAGTGTTCCCTATTTTCAATAGTTTGATTATCATTCCAGATTGTTGTGGATGGTGCAACAGGCCTGTAGACGAGAATACAGCTCTAACGTCGGCCTCAGCTACATACTGCTCCGAGTTGTGTTTTTCACAATCTAGAAGAGCAACTTTCAAGAAAAACAAGACCTGTGATTGGTGCAGACATGTAAGACATACGGTGTCATACGTGGATTTTCAGGTAATTAATACTGTTCTTCGAAAGAAACTGTTATTGTTGTAGCCAGGTTGCTCACGTGAACATTCTCATAGCTAGTATTTCTCATAACCTTGTATTACTCTACTATTCACTACTAATACTTTAATACCCTTGGACGTCTTATGACGTCTTCATCAGTCTGATTTTTCAAGTGCTTATGCGTGATCTCAGTAACTGCTGCACAAGTTTTGATGGATCGATGGATCTACGAAAACGTGTTCGAAGGTCATAAATGGTAATGTGCAACATTTTTGTTTTTAAATTTTTTGATTATTTTGGTATACATACATATTTATCATAAAGTTATGAGTGATTGATTTATTTTTTAATTTGTCCACATTGGTTTAGATTGGCATGATTTAAAAAACTAACAAAGAATATAGCTCTCAAAAGCGCTATTTTGCTCTCCAAGTCTTGATAATGTCATGAAAAGCCTTGTCACCCGCTCCCGTTGACCTGCTTGTAGGTCACTTGGTGTTTTTGTAATTTTAGTAACTGCTGCATAGGTATTGATGAAATATGGAAGGCGATGAGGAACTAAGAGCAAAAAGCTAACTGTCTTAGATAGTCCACGACCTTCGACCGTTTTACTATCTTTGGGCGTTGTCCAAAAATATTTGGAAGCGTCAACATTTTGAATAATTCCAAACATTTCATGAATATTGGTCGCCTTGGGCTTAGTAAAATACTCGTAAATTGGGAATTAATTTCTTTGAAATCCAGCAATATTCTTTCTTCTCTGGCAGGTACAAGTAGATACTTATTTTTTACGATATTGTTTTTCTTTATTGTGCTTCCAATTTACGATGTACTTTAGGGAATAATGAAATACGAGTTTGTTCAGAATTTTAGCAGATTCATCATACTGCAGCGAAGTCCAAGCAAAAAGTAGTTTCCACTAAACAAAAGCAAAACAATTTTTGCACCAAACGTCAAGTAAAATAGTGGAAGATCATCATCGGATGATCTATAATCTAATATATCGATATTACAGAACTTTCACAAACAATTATGTCAAAATACACGGTTTGATGCCAATCGTAATCCATCAGCAAGTTCATTTGATTTCTCTATTTTGTTGTAGGATGGAGCTTCCCAGCTACAGTTTTGTTCAGATAAATGCCTCAATCAGTACAAGATGCACATATTCTGTAGAGAAACGAGAGCTCACTTAGAGCTCCATCCACATTTGCACAATGAAAGTTCGTCATCAACTGGCGGTAATCTCATAACACCAGATCTGTGGTTAAGAAATTGTAGGTCTCCAGAGAACAATAGATCTCCATCACCAGTACAAGCGTCGGCAGATAATATGGTATGTAGATTGTAGATGCCTTTTGTTTATACAAAAAAGAAGCCAGAAAAGATAATGGATTTCTCACAGAGAGCTCCGGATTTGAATAAAATATTTTCAGACTAGTGCCACTTCCGGTTTTGATGACTCTCATGTATGACTACTATTCGTCATTATTCGTCAGAGCTGTCCGGTGGACCTCTGCTCTTAGTTAAAAGTCTCGTCGGATTGCTAGTCTGTCAGGTCTGGCTACCCAGATACCAAACATGTTTAATGGGTAAAGGGAAATAAGGAAAGACAGGATGGAAGAAATAGAGCAAAGAAAAGAAGTAAATCATTTGAAATAGCTTAAGCATTATTGCTTTGACTACTCGAATTATTTTGTAACTCCAAAAAATAATTTTGATTGGTTTTGTATACTGAAATAATTTTGGCTGGTCTGAATTTACAATTTAATTTTGATCACAGTGCGAGGCGCGACCTGGAATGTTTGCGAACTTGCTCGACTGTGTAGTCTACTGAATCACGCAACAGAGAGTTGATGTGTGATTCCGCTTGATTATAACGCCGCTGCGACTGTTGTTTTACGTAAATCCCTCAGATATGGGATATCAAGATCTCTGTGAATGGTCTCATTTGACACGTACCAAGGGGCGTTAGTAATTGTGCGTAGGGTTCTGTTTTGCAGGACTTGCAATCTCTGCATGTGCGTCTTGGCAAGAACACACCAAGCCGCACATGCGTAGGTGATTGCGGGTCTTATGACTATTTTATACAACCGAATCTTGTTGATCAAAGTTAATTTTGAATTTCTGCACAACAAAGGATAAAGCTGCCGAAAGGTAATTTGGAATTTTGTTTTCAAAATATCGGTATGTATCTGCCAGGTCAATCCCTTGTCAATGATGACTCCAAGATACCTGACATATTGCTCCCATGGTATAAGAGTTCCATTCACTGATATCTCTGAGGGGACACCGCGACGTTTTTTAGTACAATAGATTGCCTGCGTTTTCGAAGTATTAATTTTGATCAACCACCGATCCGCCCACTCCAATACTTCCTCCACCACACTCTGCAGCCTGTCATAAACCAGGTTACCAGAACAAGACTGGGCTAGCAATGCAGTGTCGTCAGCATAGAGATAGACTTCATAGTTGCTGGGACAAGGGACGTCATGTATATAAAGTGAATAAAGGATTGGTCCTAAGACCGAACCCTTAGGCACACCGGTCGTATTGTTGACAACACATTGTTAATTTTAATCCGAAACTTCCTTCCTTCTAGAAAAGATTTCAACAGTTTTAGTACCCAAAATGGAAAACCCTTTTGGATGAGCTTATACAAGAGGCCCATGTCCCACACCTTGTCAAATGGCTTTGATACATCTAAAAGCCAGCTACCAGTACTTTTGTTCAGGGTGAACCCCCTGGTTACATGCTCCACCAGTCTAACAGCCTGTAGCTCCGTACCATGCTCAGACCGAAAGCCGAATTGCACGTCAGGAATCACATGGTGATCTGACGAGAAATTCTCAAGGTGACGAGAAATCACCTTTTCAGCGAGCTTAGAAGGAGCTGACAGCAGACTAATGGGTCGGTAATCCTGGGGGAATATCGAGCCTGCCTTCTTTGGGATCATGATGACTTCAGCGACCTTCCACGCCTTAGGAAAGTAATAAGTTCTGAGCATTGCATTGATTATTGCCACCAGATAAGTCAAAGCCTTGAGCGAAAGCAACTTCAGTGCTTTGTTGGTGATTTGATCATCTCCAGGTGCTTTACGCACCTTTAGGTCCTTAATGTGGCCTTCGAGCTCTGCTGGTGTGCAAAACGGAATCTCAGAGGATTCCGTTGATGTGCTATGCTGAGATTCATCTGAAGAGTCTTCTGTAGAAGAATCTTCTGAAAAGGAGTCACCGATGTTAGCACCGATGTTGGTATCGCCATTCGCTTTGAAGTATCTCCTGACAGATCTTACAATTTGTCGTTCCTCGTCAAGGTCATTGTCCAGATCATAACTGGGAGAGAACTGTCTTTCCATGACGTCAGCAAAAACCGCTACTTTATACTCAGTCCTGAAAACTATGCCTCCAGGATCATGAATATGTGGTAGTTGTTCTTGCCTTCCATTTCTGAGCGCTTTTACCACTTTCCAGAGAGGAATACTTGATTCAAGCGTCCCCGCCAGAAAGCCGCTCCACTGCTCATTGCGGAGTCCACCGAGTGCATTTCTCACTTCATGGACGAGATTTGTCGCTCTACGAATGTCATCAGGATGACAAGGGCTTTTTGGTTGCTTAATCGCCGCTCTCTTTTCAGAAATTTTCCGACGAATGTCAGCAGGGAGAAAAGGTCGGCCGTGTCGCTGCACCGGAAGCACAGCAGCACGCTGTAGAGTTTGGTGAACGAAACTTTTCCACTCCGATTGAGCAGCATCAATTCCGTTCTCATCATGTATGGCCGGGACGCTGGGAAGCTCTTTGAGAAATTACTTGTATAGTTCCCAATCAACTCTTTTCCTTGGAGGATTTTCCTCCTCCACGAAATGAACATTACCTACCTCAAGAACAATAGGTAGATGATCACTAGAGATGTCATACAAGATCCTAGAAGCAATACTGAACCTACAGTTTTTAGATATTGCAAAGTCCGTAACATCCGGTGCCTAAAGGTGATTGAAAGGATGGTGTGTCGGCGTTTCGCATCACATGGTTGTAAAGACGAACCCCACAAGTAGAGTTAAGCCTTGAGTGCCATGATCGGTGTTTGCAGTTGTAGTCCCCTGCCGTAATAAGAGGTCCAGAACAGTCCAGAAGGACTTCCAATCCTCCTCTCGCAGCCTGGCACCGCACCTGACATACACCGAGGTGATCTTCAACGGAACGCATCCCACCATATTGACTACCACGGACGGTGCTTCAATGCTTTGCATCTCGGCGTTTGTGCTTCTGTGATAGTAAATACCATGTTTAACGAGCACTGCCAAGCCAGCACCCCTACCATTCAATCTGTCGGCGCGTATAACAGCATAATTCGAGAAAGCTAAGCGATCTCCCGGATTAAGTAATGTTTCCTGCAGCAGAGCTACGTCTATACTCTCATCCAATCAAGTTTGATGAAATTCCCGTTTTTTGGGAATATCCCTTAGGCACAGACATTTCCAAAAAAGAATTTTGATAAATGCAGGTTGTCTATTGTACTGCATAAATATCGCCTGCAATGCCTGAGTGGCGCTAATCAGGGGACTTATTATTTGTTGAAGGGACCTAAGCGCTGTTGCTAGGTCCACATTCTGCGTGTTCAAAGTGGGTTGAACAGAGGGGGCAGCCGAAGATGTTGAGACGGCTGCTTCCGCGTATGATTTTTTTTATATCGAAGCAGCCGCGCAGGCAGAAGCCGCGGCAGAAATGACGGAACACCGCGGCTGCTATGATGATCCCAAAGAAATTTTGTTAATACGCCTAGGGCTAGTGGAACTGGGAAAAGCTTCCTCTTGTAGATTGTTCCACAATCTTGACACCCTCGGGACAAAGGAGCTGTCGTATCGGCCAGTTCTTGATGTACGAAGTTCGACACGGTTAGGATGGGACGTCAACGTTCAGGTGGGTCTGCCTGGCAGACAAATCGTGCGGCGGCATCATGGGAGAGAGCTCTGAGGAGCAAAGCCCGTTGGTGTAGCGGTAGAAAAGAGCTAGATCGCCGACGGCCCGCCGGTGCGAAAGGGTCCCGAGACTGTCTGTTAGAGAAGAGTCATCGATCAGACGGACCGCCCTCCTCTGGACAGCATCGAGCATGGACAATGTAGTCGGGGCGGCAGCACCCCAAACGTGTGACGCCTTATCTGGGCCTTGTATAGAGTGAGAAGGTCATGCGGAGAAAAGTACTTCCTAGCCCTAAACAAATAGCCTAGCTTTTTCCCAGAAGCTGCTGCTATTGACGGATATCTTGCGGCCAGAGATAAAGTCAGCCACCCATCTGCAAAGCTTTTCTGGAAGGCCATAGGATGGAAGTTTGCTTAAGAGGGCAGCGTGCCACAGCTGATCGAACGCTTTCGTGATGTCTAGAGCAACGCCATGAGCCTCACCATATGACTGGATGAGTTTACTTCACAATTGCGTGACGTAGGCTACGAGGTCCCCTATGGATCGTTGGTGCCGGAAACTATACTGCCTGTCGCTAATCAAGCTGTGACTTTCAAGGTAGTCCAGAAGCTCGCGATTTATGCACCTCTCCATCACGTTACTTATAACAGAAAGCAGAGCTATAGGCATGCAGTTGTAAGGGTCGATCTTAGATCCTTTTTTTGGGATGGGTTTGACATGAGCAAATTTGCAGTTTTCTGGGAAGGTGCCGGATTCATAAGATGGAGCAAGCTCCGTTGCACACCTCTTCGGTACAATGGCAGGAATCAAGTCCGGACCAGAAGCTTTGTTGATGTCGAGCAACAAGAGCACTCGTCTTACGGTCTTATGTCTGAATGTTACCTCCCGCATAGTGTAGGGAACCGTTTGAATTGATGGCACTTGGGGTTTGGGGGAACGTCCATGGTGGAGTTGGCAACAAAGATCTTGGCTAGCACTTCCGCCTTGGCCTGTGAGTTGAATACAATAGTTCGACATGTAAATGGTGGAAGGCTACTGTGTGAGAAGTTATTTTCAATCTGCTTGGCTAGCTTCCAGAAAGACCAACTGCCATTGCGCTGCGATATTACCCTGTGCCTAACTTTTATATCGTGCTGGTTTTTGACATTGCGAACCTCTTCGTTATATTTGTTTCTGGACTCGACGTCGGCTTGTCTGTTCTCTACAGTGGGGTTTTGTAAGAAGGTTCTGTGTGCCTTGATCTTCTGCTGGCGAGCAGTGTCACACGATTTGTTAAACCAGCCGTTGGACCCTGGTTTAGGCACTTTCACCGAACCTCAACAACACCGTGGTCTGAGTTACCAACGGGGGACAGGACAGTAGTGCTGTAAGGGACAGGATGCGTGGTCAGAAAGAGATCCAGCGGGCTACTGGCGTG